CAACTTCCGGGAATAGTAATAATAGTAATGGCCTCTGAAGACACGAAAGACACTGTTACAGTTGGAGAATATTTAGAGAGACAAAAGAGTTTAGAGAGGGAAGCAGCTGAAGTTTTACCTTGGAACTTCGATAGCTGTACATATAACAAGGGGTACTTGCGTCAGGCCGTGTATGCCTGTAAAACCTGCAAGCCAAAGTCTGGTTTCGGACCGGGTGGTGTCTGCTACTCTTGCTCAATCGCATGTCACGCAGGTACCTTTTTTACTTTCCTTCAACTTTTTTTATTTAAAAGCCGAAAATACATTTTTTATGACAAACCTTGTAAACAATATAGATCATGAACTTGTTGAGTTGTTTAACAAACGTAACTTTAAATGTGATTGCGGTACGACACGTCTTGGGGGAAATACGTGTCAGTTAGAATCTAAGTCAAAAGACGCGTTAAATGAGTTAAATTCGTACAATCATAATTATGAAGGGCGATTTTGTTGGTTAGTCATAAGATAAGGGTCGTGACGGGTCCTATTTAATTTTTATTCACGTAATATGCTGGTAATTTAAGGTGCAAAATCGATTACGACCCGGAAAAGGAAGAAGCAAATATGCATCAAGTAAAAATATACGATGTCATGGCCTAAGACCATCCAAACTAGTTTCAAATAGTAGTAATAATTTGATTCTATTTAATAGTGTGTTATCTGTGAAGATTGGTTTCATGAAAATTGCATTAATGGAGAAAGACAAGGAGAGAAAGTTTTTTCGGTAGGTATGCACATCTTACTTCTCGTGGAAAGGTAATATTAACTGATTGTTGGTGGATGTGTATTCCTTTAGGTGCCAGAACTAGATACTTTCGATGAATACATTTGTCGTGGATGCACGAGCAACTATGCCTTTCTCAAGTCGTATAAAAGTTCTCACATGTTTTTCTCCGGTCAAACCAAGAGGATTGGTGAAATGAAATCAACAGACAAGGAACATTCTGTGCACGAAGAAACATCGTGCAATTCTCCCAATAGTTCCATAAATGGTCAATTGTTACAAACTGATAGTTTCATTTCAACAAGTAAAAGAAAACTAGAGGATGATCAAGAGATTGAGAGCGAGAATAGCATATTAAAAAAAAAGAAAAGTGAAGCGCAATGCAAGCTCGATATATGGAAAATAGAGGATGACAAATTTGAAGTTGACTTATTTTGCATTCAAGGTTGGCGTGATGAACTCTGTCGTTGCGCTAAGGTACACATTTAATGATTTGCAGGTCGAAAAAATTGAAGATTCGTAAATTAATTTCTACGAACACTTCTAGTGTATGGATCTCTATAAAAAGCACCATATAGAATTCATCTTACAAGAAGAAGAGACGTACGAGCCTCCACAAGATGACGAAGCGCGTGAGTTTGAATCCACTTGAGATATCATTTTGTAATTAAATATGATTATATAATCTTCGGATGAATTCTTGAATGGCAGAAACGTCATTGTTTGACAGTGGAATGAAATTATTGACACAGATGGATAGGATTACTGCAATTGAAGGTTTTTCTTTAGTTTTCTTCTAATGGATGTCATTTGCTACCTCTTATTACCGCATTGACAAATTTTATTGTTCTCAGGGGCAATCGCATACGCCAAATTGAAGTATAAATCATGCATTATTAATACACTTTCGAGTGTTTCTAATCCTTCTTCCTTTCCCTTACGCGTCATGTGCTTATTCAAATGTAATTTATATTAGAGATGAATTGGTTGAATTTCTAAAACCTTTCGAAGAATCAGGAAAAACGGTAACCGAGAAAGATATAAGAACATTCTTTGAGGTAAATTTTGACATCAAAACCTTAATCGCTTTTTGGGGGTTACATGCAAACTTTAATTACAACTCTAAAATTGATAAACGACTCAGTCCAAAAGGAATGAGCGCAACATTCCGGATGCTGGATCATTCTTTTGATATTCGATCCATTCTGTGTTCATGCGTGTATACATTCACATAATACTTTGTTCAGATTCCATGTATGCACATATATGATATTTCCATATCAAGTAATTATTGCATCACAACCATTATTGTTAATAAATTGGTGAATGCATATAGTATTAAAAGCTTAAGACGAACAATCAGGCATCACCAACAATTTGGGATTGGACCAAATTGTCCTTGGAATCGTCACTTTTATCCGTCAACATTGTAGACGTTTCTGGAGTAGAATTGGAAGTTCTTTCGGCTACTACAAATTCTGTCTTAACAGGCAATTTGTCCGATGCTAATCTCAATGCTTCTTTTGCAGTTTCTCTTCGCATTCCTCCACCTCCTATTTCAAACACAATTTTATTCATAGGCACCCTGCAAGCCCAATACTCAAATGAACCTTTACCCTTCCCCATTCGTGTTTCATTTCCTTTCGAAGTAACAGGGATATCGGGAAACACACGCATCCATATTTTCGAACCCTTGACCACTTTTATCTTGCGTTTAATAGCAGAATGTGCTGCTGTCAGTTGACTTGATGATAAACGTACGCCGTCTTTTACGCGTAGACCGTAATCACCATAGACAATGGTATTTCCTTTAGTTGAGCCACCCGTACGTACGGGTACCCGTCCTTTTTGTTTTTTTCGATACTTGTTATGGCGTGGTGCGAAATCCGATCGAAATCGGCATTGAACATAGCTCATCATAGCTTCTTGATTTAATGGACTTTTCTCGCGTTTTATCGACATCCAAGGTATTTTTGGTGTCAATAATTGAGCTCCTTGGAAGAAGGACGTGAAGTGCCGTTGTGGGATTACATATTGCCTTCTTGAGAATAAAATATTCGACTCCGCTGAGCCGGAATAAATACTAGGAAACTGCTTTGA